TCCTATACAGAATGGCACGTAAATGTTATTTTTAATTCTTTAAAAAAAAATTCAAAACAAATACATTTCGAAGGTTTACAAAAAATTCAAGGTTTCTCCACCCTAAATTTTGTTATTATTGGTATTTCCTGAAAATTTCACAAACATTTTCAAGGTGTTCAGTTTACTCTTAAATATTTTTTCAACTTCATCTTCCCGATTTTTGAAAATAAATTTATTTCAATTTGTACTAGACTAAAGATCACAGTTAAATCTCAATGGTATACCTACATTGAGTATTCATTTCTCAAGCAGTGGCGTTATATTTAGGAGTGATAAAAATAGAAGCAAAACCGAAAGGCAGATGGATATCAGCGCCGGTCATTTAGGGTGAGGAGCAGATTAAGTAATATTTTGTACGAGATTGAGTGAGGACAATCTATATATTTATTTTAAAAATAATACGTTTTAAACTTTGTATTAGAGATGGATTTTATGTTATAGAGTGTTTATATTTTAATTTATTAATGGTTATTTAACTGCAAAATTGTTATTTTAGTTATTTGGATTCAGTATTAAAGGTCTCTTCTATTATTGTATTACTTTGTAGCTCCAGCATTATTAGATATATCTGTGTACCTATTAATTAACGTCATGCAGATATATTTTTAAAAGTACTTTCATTATACTTATATATCTTTTGTTTTGTCAGAATTGTCGTCACAATGTATAATTGTATAATTTGCAACAATGCGTCAGTTATATCTCACTGTAGTTTGCTAAGAAGTTGGAGACTTCGATGAACAAGAGAAGCCAGAAACATAGAGCTATTTTGTCGATTTAACTAGTCCAATACCATTCAATGCCAGATAGAAAACAGTAACATTTGTATTTCAAAAACTTTGACAAATGTTTAGAATGTTTGTATTTAGAAATACATGCCATTCAGGCACATCACATTCTCAAAATCTGTTAAAGTTTATCAGGGTCATAAATTTTTGCAATCGGCTTTAATACTTTTTATATAATTAAGTAATTTTAGTTAAAAAAAGTTTACTTATTTTCTTATAAGGTAGAAAATAACTATGCCACTTACATTTTTTATGAACTGATTCTTTCTAACTTCAAATAATATTATTGGATTTGTCGGATATTTTGATAAAAAAAATGTATCTATTTCTTTTTGATATCGATAAAATCAGTATTCAAAATTGTGCCTCCACCATATTTTTAAATAATAAACAGAAATAAATTGTACCTCCACCATTTTTTTAAATAGCGGGTTTGAAAGAAGTGTTGCATTCAGCTACTCATTGAAAATTTTGTTATCTTTGTAATGTATTGGCGAAAAAATATTAAATGCTTTGGAAATACCTATATAGATACAATGCTTTAAACCTGGAGAAAATTTGTATTTTCTTAAATGAATTATTGTCCAGATTTTTGGTTTTTTATCTGCCTGCTGCATCAGATAGAAACAGCACAAAGAAGCTAGGCAGCCACTGGTGGAACAAAAGGAACAAGATTATGCTACAAAATAATTACTAAAAAAAGGCAAGCACCAATTGATTATTAAATTGTTAATATAAATAACTGGATGACTTAGGGCATGACCCAAGTCGCCTCTGTACGCTAAATAAATGTCTTTATGGTTCTCTGGACATAACAAATCAGTAATGTTAACTGAAATAAATAAAATGATATAAAATTGTAGTGACAATATTTTGATTGCATCTATCCACTCATCAATTATATTGACATCAACACTGGGATTTTAGTTTTTTAATTATTTATTACGGTATAGATTAAAGATTTTTACCAATCTTTCTCGTATTGTCGTAGATAAAATATTGTATGACATACGTTTGTAAAATACGTCTTATTTTATATTAATAAAAATACAATTTTTATTGTAATTAATTGATATATGTTTAATAATACCTACTTACTTATTAAGATTTTTAATTTAAAATTTGTTTTCCTAATTAAATAAAATGTTTTTTCCTGTTGCAGAATTTGACGAACACAATCTTAAGGTGAATTTTCTTTACTTTCTTGTTATTGTCTTTATTAATTTTATTTTATTCTCTTCTGATATTTGGCAATACTGGGCTCAAAGTTTTTTGTTTTTATGGATTTTTTTAAAAAATTGTTTAAAGTCTTCTAATTTTTTATTTAAAATTGTTTGAATTTTAATAGAATTTAGTGTAAAATTTATTATTTAGGTATTAAGTTGATTGGGAATTAAACCATAGATACATACAAATTAATGTTTAGGTTTAATTTATATTCCCAATTTAAAATACTAACAGCCACAGCTAATATTATAATAAAAACAAAAAATCGAACTGACAGACAATGTCACACGTCACATCGCAAATCTGCTACAATGTCACACGTCACATCGCAAATCTGCTTTAATGGTTACCTAAGTTGCCTGCGTGCAATAGTGCCTTAAAAGTTGTATGACCAAATATACATGGCGATCCTTAAGCAAGGGGCTGATCAAACCTATACATTTTTAAAGCAAAACACTCTGTAGATACTTATTCATATTTGATTGTTTTCAATTCGTCAAACAATTTTAATATACTTTATTTATTTGGTATGTTATATATAGGGTGTGTCAAAATGCGAGGTTAAGATTTTCTCAATTTTCGAAATGAAATACCCTGTATGTCATACCTACTACCAATTAATTAATACCGAGTATTCATTTAAAATTTGAGAAAATCGTAATCTCGCGTTTTGACACATCCTATATACAACACAGGAAATTAATGAAGTCAAATAAAATTGTTTGACGATGTGAAAAAAACAAATATGTATAACTGCCTGCAGGGTGTTTTGCTTTAAAAAAGTATAGCTTTGGTCAGCACCTCGTTTATGGACCACCCTGTATATTTAAGATTAATTGTTAAATTTGGTCATACAACTATTACATTAAAAATTTCCAATAATGAAACAGCTATCGATCAATTACGAACTGATGAGACAACCTGTATATGTGTTATTGGCCAACATGTTGGTATCGTTGGATAGGCTTTACAAAGAATGTTATGTCTAAATAATATCACGCTTTTTTTTTTAATTTTGGCCCACTAATTTTTTATCTAGCACCTTAAATTTGTAATGGCGTCAATTAATTGTGGCTCAGCATTTTTTTTTGTAGAAAATATAAGGTATTTTCTGTTTTTTGTAGTTAATTTTTGGTTTAATTTGAAATTTTTTTATTTTTTAGTGTTTTTGGATTTTGAGGTCCTTTAGTGATCTGTATTTCTTTTTTTTTTGCAAATATCAGGTATTTTATATTTTTATAGTCAATCTGATTGATTATACTCGTAGTTGTGTTCGATAGTTTGATGATATATATTTTTTGGATTTTGGGTATTTTGTTTTTTGATTGTAATTACATTTTTAAAAACAATTTTTCATTTTTAAATAATATAATTAGATGAGTACAATAAAAAATCATTTTGGTAGGTATTTTAACGATAAAATATTTTCTGTAAATAATTTATCTACCTATATGAAAAATTACAACTGAAAACGACGTGGCAACGTTACATTTTTTGGTGAACTTTTGTAAAGAAGGACCTTGAGAGTGTCAGTATTACTATATAGAGTGAAATATGTTTAACTTTCATAGCTACTCCGGATTTAAAAAGAAATGGAAAGGCATATATGAAACAATTTTGATTTCATCTAAATTTTAAAATGTTTTTGCCAGGTAGATATTTATACTACTTACCTATTTAAAATTTAGAGGAAGAGGATAAAATAAATGAATTCACCTTTTTTTTTTAATAAAGCAAACGATCAAATTTTCTAAAAAGTTTCTGTTTATGATTGCCTGGTCTAAATATATTTATCCAGTTCAAAAACAAGAGGAATGTATTTTTTTTTATTAAAAAAACTAGTTCGTGCATTTTTTCCATAAAAATGAAAATTTGACAAAAAATTTTAAAAGTTATCAGAGCGCCACATATATTTTTTTCACCAAGAAAAAAAAAATGTTTTTACAATTTTCAAAAGTTAATTAATTTTTTATAAAGAAATAAAAATGTAAAATTTTTGAAAATAATTTTTAGCAGAGAATCATTTTTTTTTTGTTACAATAAACAAAATAAAAACGAATTTTAAAATATTGGTAATATTAAAAATGTATAGGTGGGTACATATTATTACCTATCTACCCAAATTTGATTTTTATTCACATTCAGTTCTACTTTTTTACTTTTGATACAAAAATCTAATAAACTAAGTTTAAAAAATATACTGAGATTAACAATTTTTGAAAATTTTAATTTAGAATTTTGAAAATGATGAAAACAGTAACAATTAATTAACTTTCCGCATTATGGAAAAAACACACTGACTAGTAATAATAAATCAGCAAAAGCGGCCTGCGGAACTAAACGAAATGCACAAAACACGAGTAAAAACAATTTAAATCACAAGAGTCGACATCAAATGCACTAAAAATGGTTTCACTTTCTAATCATCATCAGTAAGTACCAGTATAGACAGCTGTAGTTATATCCGAATCACTGGCAACAAGAAATAAAAATGCAGAGTTGAGCACGTGGTGTTAACAGCGGTGGCGGTGAATACAGAATTGTTCTTGTTCATTGTCTTGGATCGTCAGATCTCTCCGAGTGAAAATATCGAATAATCCGGATTGCGCCGGCCGCCGATCTCCCCTCCACACCTCCGGGCCACGCCCCTTGGCCTATCGTGACCCTCGCGTGAACTAAGAACCTCCCCGAACCGCCCAGGCCAAGTCAGTGTCGGGCCCGAGACCGAAAGGTCACTAGTAGAGGCTAGAGTGTTTCGTGGGCTTGACCTATCACCTCCAATGTGAAGATACGTGCTCCGAGCTCCTCAAAGTCTCCACAGGTTCAGGGTGTAGGAGTCCGCAAGTGTCTTGAACTCGGTGTCGAGGTTCATGTGGCCGGTGTGAGAGTGCAGTGTGTGTGTAGTGAGGTTATCTCCTGGAGACCGTGGAGCGATTTAACGCCATGGCTCTGGTGGCCCCCTCTTGGAGAGAGACACCGGCGCTTGTTAACCCCATCCCGACGAGTTTGAACTCTTTGTCCAACGGTTTGAACCCTTTGACTCCTTCTGGTAACTTGAATCCAATCTCCACGAATATTAACCCTCTTACGCTCGAGAATCCGGATGTGTCTCTTATCAATCGACAAACACCATCTCAGAACTCGCAAAATAGCGCTAACAGTGTCGATAACAAGAATCAAAACATCGAGTGTGTGGTGTGCGGGGACAAAAGTTCCGGTAAACACTACGGACAGTTCACGTGCGAAGGTACGTAATCACTAATCAACTAAATCGTTTATCACAAGGTGTAACCATTTATTTTATAGTTGTGATCATATATATCTATTACCAAATTGTGTAACGTTAACGTAACGTAACTACTGACTAATAATTAAGAAATCAAAAGAAAAGTTGGGCCGTATGTACAGTAATTAATCCCGTCCTGCTAAAAGTTGTTTAAATTTTATTTTAATTAATAAGTACTTTATATTAGTACCTATCCTGTTTAATCTAAGTACCTATGTATTAAAGAATTAAAGAAAAACGTGATTTCGTTTTTTTTAACAAAATTAATGTTACATGCTTGTTGCCTTAATTAACTTTGTTGTGTGTGTGTCTGTTATACTGATGAAAAATAGTGATCATATGTCAGTTTCTTTCTCTAAATAATAATGTGCTTAAATACGTATATTATAGCACAAGAGCGATATAATCCACTGTCTTCGCTGAATCAGAAACAATACAATTTTTGACGAAGGGTTGATAAAATCATTAAATTTGGCGAAGGGTCCTTTATAAATTTAAAATTTGGCGAAGGGTGCATTAAAATTTTTGAATTTGGCGAAGTTTATTAAAAATCTTCGAATATGGCGAAGGAGCATTTTTCCCAATAAAATTTAAAATGTAACAAAAGTGCCTGAAAGAATTTTACTTAGAAATATTACTGGCAATTACATTTACGAATTTATACTGATTAAACTTCATAAAATAATTAAAAATTGTTAATATATAAGGGTAATGTATTTTTATCTTACAGTTTTGAACTAGATTTCTTTAAAATTTTTCAAAAATTAAATTCTTAAAACATAAAAGTTAATAACATTTTTTTCTTTCAATTATTTGACTATGAGAATATTTAATAATATTAAAAATTTTATGAAATTGTGTTATATTGGTCAAAATATACGAGAGAAATTAGTTTACAAATGCAGATAAGAGTTGTGTGTGTGAAGGGAAAAGGATGGCATTGGATAAACCATTTGCCACAGATAATAACAGATAAGAGTTTCCACTGAGAATAATTGTATTCAATAAATATATAACTCTAAAAAATAAAAAGAAGGAAAGATTTTAATGATTTATTATTTAATTAAATTATTAAATTCCTTGGAAATCCCAAATAAATCCTAAAATAATGAAAATTATATTTGAACCCCCAAAGTGAAAACAAATTTAATTAAAACCATACAGGGTGTTTGTAAATAAGTACCAAATATTTAGGGGGTGCTTGCCGAAATTATTTTGTTAAAAAAGTTCATATAAACTTAGGTCGAAATATGTTTCATTTCCGAGATACAGAGCGTTTAAATTTTAATTTTTTATTTATTTTCTTTATTTCAAAAAGTTTTAAAGATACTGACTCGAAATTTGCAAAACGTTCTGGGGATAAATGTACATTTTTTGGGATGGTCGGAATATTTCTACTTACACCAGTGGCGTTCGTGCGAGAATTTCACTACTTCTTTAATAAAAAAAAATGGTACGCCACTGACTTTTCCCGTTTTAATATTTATCACAATAACTTCAGCAACCAACCTCTAAAATCTTTCACACTTATTTAATTTTTTATATACTTAAAAATGTTAACAAATTAAAAAAATTTGAAATCAGAATTTAAACATAAATGAAGTATTTAGATATACCTATTAGGTATTTATTACAAAATAAATATTCTAAATCACTTACTGTCCTCAGATTCACTGTCGTTTACGTTAATTACATGTTTCTCAAGAACTGGTATATATTGCATAGGTTTTCAATAAAAATTAATTAAATATGTATCCCTATAATTAACCTCAATTTGAAAGCAATTAGAAAATTGGGACTTGGACGATTTGTTTAAGATTTTACATATTTTGTTTCCGTATTTAATCCATAGCAATTTTCACGAATTTTTAATAATATGTTTAGAAATATTCGTAATTATATTCCTTATAAAATTATTAAACAATTAGATAATGCGGACCTGGCTAGGCAGAATGTTTGTTTTAAAAGGATAACAGTAATATAATAATAATTTGTGCAACAAGAGTGGATATGATGGCCATATCGCACGAAGACGAAATTTGAGCACGACGCCGTAGGCGGAGTGCTCAATCGTCTGAGTGCGATGTGGACAATTCACGCGAGTTGTACAGATTATTTTTTCTACGACCCACTAATGAAAATTTACAAAAAAAAATATTTTGGGTTATTTAGACAAATAACTAATTTTAAAATAATTTATGACTTTTAATAATTTTTAAAATAAAATAAACGGAAAAAAAGAAAAAAGTTTATTTCATTTTCCTCATCCGAGAATCGAACTCGAGTCAGTATGGAAGGCAAGAACGCTAATCACAGGGCTACCTATTCTTTTATTTCTGTTGCTTTAATACTCGTAATTAAATTAACTTCATATAGTTTTATTTAAATTAACAAAATATTTATAATTATAGACGAAATAAAAACAGAAATGCCATTATTTATCGATTATACATAAGAATAACCAATTTTAATGTATGTTTAATCTCAATAACTAAAAATTATACTGACAATTATTAGTTTGACAGAATTGTCATTTATTTAAAATTTTAAAAATAATAGCGTCGGTTGATCAAAATATGAACAGTGATTGGTGGATTTCATTTTTTGCAGTGTTTTCACTGTGTAGAATGGATATGAAATATATTCGTTCAATTGAAGGCAATAGCATACTTTTTCGTTTTGTAATCTGTGCGTAGATAAGCTAATATCCATGTGGGTGTAGAAAATAGTAGTTTGTACTACAAGAGTGGATATGATGGCCATATTACACGAAGACGAAGTGCGATATGATCAATGCACTCGAATTGTACGGTATATTTTTTCTACGACCCACTAACCAAAATCTAAAAATTTTAAAATTATTTTAGATTATTAAGATAAAATAACTAATTTAAAAATAATTTATTAGTTTTATTAATTAATATAATAAAATCAACTTGAAAAATATATTAATTTAATTAGCCTCCAATCCCAGAATTGAACCGGGGACCTCTCGCTTGACAGCTAAATGCCCTAGTTTCAACTCTATCGCCACACATAAGATTTTAGTTTTAATACTCGTAAAAAAATTAATTTCATATGGTTTTATTAAAATAACTCATTTTAATGTATATTTAATCTCAATAACTTAAAAAAATATACTGACAATTAGTTTGACAGAATTATCAGTAATTTAAAATAAAAAAAAAATAATATTGACTATATGACTATATGAACTGTGACTGCTGGATTTTATATTTGTGCAGTGTTCTTACTAGGAGTTGATATGAAATATATTCGTTTAGTTGAACGCAATAGCATACTTTTTTGTTCTGTAGTCTGTGCGTAGAATAACTAATATTCATGTGTGTGTAGAAAATCTTTTTATTTGTAAGTTTTTCGCTTTATCTTGACCACTATAATACATTTTCAATTTCAACTGTTTTTAAAATATGGGTTAGTTAATTCCTGACAATACATTTAATTTTTTCGGGTATTGAGTATGATATTCCTGCATCCAATGTGAATTTTTCTTATCCCTATACCATTCACATGAGCGTTTAGAATAGATGTAGATTCATCTGAAAAAATAACTTTTTTAAAAACATTGAATCCCTGGCATTTTTTTTATCATATTTTCGCAAAATTCAATTCATTTTTCAGAATCTTCTGAACTGAAGTTACTTTATAATAGGTATGCCACTTTCCCTTTTTTTGCCTCATATGATCTGTTGAATGGTTGTAATATAAAGGACTTCTTGCGTAGAACATTTCTTATTTGTTTTCTACTACCATTATGAAGGTCTCTTACATGGCCTGATTCTGTTTCTCTGAATTTCTTCCCAATTTTGCTTACAATGGATTACGACATTACTTTTCAGTTCCTCAGTTGATATATTTATTGCTGAATAAAGCAAAAACCTTTATCTGTGTCCTTATTGTTTTGTATGCACACCCAATCATTATCAGAATTTCAATTCTTTGCACTTCAGTAAGGTTCATTTTGATAAGACTTTTTCAATACATGTATTTTAAGTATTTACAGAAAGACGAAAATTAATACTTGAAAATTTGTTTGTTGTCATTTTATAAATATTTTTTTCGACAGTTTGCACACCTCAATTACTTAAAATTATTATTACATGGTTGGATAGACAATTAAAAATCTTTCAAATGATGTATCACATGAACCATATTTCTATTTAAAAAATCATCAATGACGACATTACGCTCATACATATGTCGTCACGAATAAAAGGAATATCTGACAGAATGCGCGTTTGAAAAAAAAATCGGTGAGTTGCGAAATAATGTATTTATTTTTTACGAGAAATAAAATGTTGTAAACATTGTGCCCCAATAGTACACAAATAGTACTCGTAGTACACCAATAGCATCGTTCATAACATTTGTGGTTAGATCACTCTGAATGGTGCCTTTGATCTTCTTAGAACATTATTTTGCCGACGAACTCTCTGGAAATAAACGTTGGCTGTCTTTCTCATAAATCGTATGAACAATGGTACAGCCAACATCGCCTGCCCAAAACATGCTGGTTTTTAGACAAGATAAAGAAGGTCCCAGTGTGGTTAACCTAGAAATTCGCGGATGATTATTAAATAACTTATTTTTCTATCTGTGATACATTTTTAGCGCACCACAGTACATATAATATTCTAAAATAATTTTATTAACAGTACACAAATAGTATCAAGAGTACAAATAGTATTCAAATAGTACACAAATAGAACACAAATAGTACACAAATAGTACACAAATAGTACACAAATAGTACACAAATAGTACACAAATAGTACACAAATAGTACACAAATAGTACACAAATAGTACACAAATAGTACACAAATAGTACACAAATAGTACACAAATAGTACACAAATAGTACACAAATAGTACACAAATAGTACACAAATAGTACACAAATAGTACACAAATAGTACACAAATAGTACACAAATAGTAC